CAAGAGGGAGTCTAAACACCCACAAAAGTGAATGCAAACTGAGGAATCGACAAATGAATTCTATCCTTATTTATATTTAAAAATGAAAATTTTGAAATTGTGGGATTCATAGATCTTCATAGTATACACTATTTATGGAAATATATGGTTGATCGGCACATTAGTTAGTCATATTAAATAACGAAGTTACGTGACATAACAAATCATATGATCCGTAACCATATACAGCATACTATATTTATTCTTTTTCGCTTTGTTATTTTTTTATTATTTCTTTTTTATCTTTTTTCACTTTGTTAATTTTTTTTCCAACATGGGTAGACCTTCAAAATTTTCACGTAGCAACCATATCGCTCGTTTACGAAAACGACCAAACCTAAAAGAATGTTATTATGCCAAAAAAATAAAACAAAAGGAAGAAGAGATCAGTGACTTGCAAGTCGATATTCAAAATTTTCAAAAATTTATTAAAGAAGCTGGAGGAAAAGTTTATGAAGAATTAAATAAATCTCAACGTGAACAAAACAATTTATTAAAGTGGATCGATGTCTATACAGAACAAATAAAGAACCTCGAAAAAGAATTACATTTACTTCAATTGAAATTCTACACATCATCTTCAAACACACAACCGTCACAACCACAACAAATAACTTCACTTTCACAACCCTTACAACCACAACAAATATATTCACCTTCACAACCATCACAGCCCTGTTTCCAAAGTATGGATGAATATTTTAAATACGAAAAGGAAAAAAAGGAACAAGGTATATATTATTATTATATTAATTTTTTTTGATAGAACTTTTATTAATTATTTAAAGCTCATATTTAGAGAACCAATGATTCGCAACCGTTATTATTGAATTGATCGTAAATCAATTACATAACCGAAGAGAAGGCTTGGCAAGATCATTATCAAAATTTCTTTGTTTGCTTTATATATCAAAATTTTTATTCTTTTAATTATTTTGTATATGCTGGTTTGCTTTATACATAAAACTACAAATAAAAAATGACAATTTAAATCAACCTAAATCAAAAAAATCAAATAAAATGAACGTTCAAAAAGTCTGGTCGGAACATTTAAACTCAAATAAATGTAATATAACGAAACTAGAAATAAAAAATTTCAATAATATAATCCAAGAATAAAAGTCAAACGAAAGTAAAGTTAAAGGATTAAACGAAATTAAAATAATAATAATAATAATATCGATGTTTCAGTACATTTCTTAGTTCACAACTTGCTAGATTCGCATTAAATTTGGCGATTCGCCGTCAGTAAAAAAAAATAAAAAATTTTGGAATGAACCAACCAGAAAAAATAATAATAATAAAAAAGAAATTTCTATACCATAATTGATTTTTACCATAATTATTTTTATATGCGCTCGGAAAGAATATACAAATTAACTACAATGATCCAGTCTGATTCCTTGCACCAACTGAAGAAATTATTGCAATCCCATTATGCTCCCCGTCGAAATTGATGCCAAGTCTTATTAACGATTTATTTATTGCTTGCAACCCGGTTTGGTTCCTCGTGCAAGAGAGAGAGAGGAACTTTTTCACTAAAAAAGAGAATAAAAAACCCCGGCATTCCTATAGAATAGAAAGAGGTCGTTCAATACTTTGTTAGTCACAAAATCCTCAAAATCTCCAAACAAGGGATAGATTGTAGAAAAAAGAAATACTTATTTTCAGCATTCCCACCGGTTTGCTTATGACAGAAGGGAAGAAGGAATAGGACTTGAAGTTTGAGGTGTAGAATTTAAAAAAACCTTTTCAAGATATAAATAAGTCTGTATAAAGTTAATTCGTTTAACACACGTTTATGCTTTGGAACAACAGATACAAATAAGGCTTGCCACTGAAAACAATTTTATATATTTTATTTTTTTTATTTTTTTTATATTTTTTATTTTTATTTTTATTTTTTTTTTGTAGGTTACATTTTTTTCATTTCTCACTTGTAGCTTTGGGCCCGAATTCAATTGGCCTAAATTATCAGAAAAATCAAAGTATTTATTGACCGTATCATTTTCTTGTAATATTCGATTATATTGTTAACGTTGGCAGGGACTTCAATCACGAAAGCATCAAGTATTTATAGAATTCATTAATGATCGTCTCCACGATACGATACCTCAAAAATTCGTTAATTCTGACGTATAATTGCATTGCGCAGTTTTATCTGGAAAATTTCGCAAGTTTGATATATTTTAATAATCAAAAACATTATGAATTTTTCAATTACTGATAAATTAAATACTAATTGATTCTCGGAAATTTTAATAATTTATAGACAAATGTTGCGGAACTTGGTGCTCGGAATTAAATAAATAAAAATTTTTTATTTTTAAAGAATGTCCATATATCAAATAAAAATATTTTACATAATACTACAGAACAAGTACTTCACTTTCTAAACTATTATCTTCACTTTTAAAACTCTTTGTATCCTCACCAATATTTAATACACTACCATCACTTTCGTTAAAAGTATCAGCAGCGGCAAGATTTTTAACACTAGCATTAAACAATTGTTCATTGCTCAATTCCTCTTTAGAATTTTTCACTTCAGTCCAACTAATGCTCTCATTTTCCTCAACATAATGCTCTTCTCTGGAATTGGTTACCTGGAAAACCTCATAATCATCCATGATAAAGGTACTACCACTATTAGGAGGTAAAATCTTCTTTTCGTAGTATTGTTGAGTACAACTACCGCTAAACCACCAGAGATCATGACCGAATCCAATATTATTCAATTTACATGACATATCACGAATCGCATATCGAGAATTTTGTACCCTACTTAAAATATATTCATCTTGTTCACAAGTATCTGAATTCGCGAACGAAAAGATGAACGAATCGCTCGTCTGCAAATATGTATCCGACGAACTCCAGCTCAAAGGATTATATCCTCCGATCACGGAAACACTGGAATTAGAACTAATAGTAGAAAAATGACTTGTAGAGTTACAAAGGACACTATCTCTACAATTCTCATTGACATCATCATCATTAATGCTATCGCAACTATCAACATCATCATCATTACCGCAAATGTTATTAACTTCGATGACAAGCACTTTAACTAATACAAAGGTTGGACCTTTGTTGTCGCATAAGTCATGAAATGTTTTAATATCCATACCATCTCTACTCCCTCTCAACAACAATTGAAAATCAACTTTATCTCTATTCTTTAGACCGTTCTCGCCCTTGTTTATCCACGCGTTCAACATACCGGCATGTTTGGACGTTACGTATAAAGAATCAATCTGATGTTTGGGTAAACGCAACGATAGGTTGTAACTAATACCCAAAGGCGGTAATTCAGTATTTGGCATCATATGAAATTGAGTTAATTGAGCCTTCAATTTCTTTGGTAAAATTTTCTTAAAAGGCCAAACAAATTCGTATAATTTATCACCTGGTATTTGAAAAAATCTTACATAAGGAAGAAAGTCTTTTAGTCGATTCTCCAACTCCATAAAATCCTTTTTCGTCCATGAATCTGCATCTCCGGATGAATTAAGTGAAGGATATTGATTTATCGCCCATTGTAACAAATATTTCCATATATCAACTTCGCTCAAATCCAAATCATCACGCTTAATAATCGTTAGCAATGAACATCTTCCTAATCGTATAAAGGATGGTGTGCCAAATAACTGTGATGGATTTTCACAAATTAATCGACTACAGTGGTTGGCTAATAATGAGAAAGTTGTCGAATGTGTGGTGGTAACGTGAAATATGTGCACGAAATTTTCGTGTAACCATGATTGTTCGTTTTCGATTATGTGTGATTGAATATATTTCACCAAATCAATTAACAACATTTCGTCGGCTGATAACAACAACGGTATAAATAGGTCTTGCATATCCGGTTCTTTCAAACTGCAAATCCCAGTATAAATGTACCTTTTTTTTTGATACGAACAAGAAAGAGGAAAGAAAAAAACGTTTTTTATAAACACCATATCACAAAAGAAAAAAGGAAAAAGGAAAAGAAAAAAAAAATCTATTAATTCACATTACACGACTACAACTTACTCTAGTAGTAATCGAAATACATCTGGATGTATACTTTGTTTTTCGAATGTGAACCATTCACCATCTTTTTTTATTTGATCGTTAGAAAATAGATTTTGAAAATATGATGATCTTGCACGAAGAATTACCGAATGTGCCTTAAACGTTTCTTTTTCGATAGATTCGTCTTCTCCTCCGACCGTAAGTTGCACATTATAGTCATTCGCTTCATAATACAATTTACCGATATCTCTTAATAACCCTGCCGATAATTCCATTGTAAATTTGTGGATGAGGAGATTCAAAATTTTATGATTCGAGGAGAAAAATATTTTAGAGGAAGGAACGGGGCTTCGATATTTTTTTTTATAATGGGGTGATCCATTGATTAATGGTTTGATTGGCTGGTTTACATATGTTTAAATTCTTTTCTTTTTTAGTCGTTATTGTGGGGGAGTTAATCGATTATCTATGCATAATTCTCAGAAGAAAATCATTAAACATCATGTGATGAATGCGTCATATATATGTTATGACGCCCGATGACATTTAATATGCAACTACAAAAAAGTCAAATTACATAAAATAAATATACTTTGACATGAGCCAAAATTCCTTCTTAAAATGCGTTCAAAGAGATAATTACTGAAAATAACGTGAATGAATGTACGTGTTTTAAATTCATGGAGATTAAAGATTATTTTCCGATCAAATTTAAAATTTAAAATTTTTCCTCCTTTTAGAACCCTAAATTAATTGATTCATGTACTGCGCCTCAAATCTGCGAACCACCTACCCTTTTCATTTAGTTTTAAAAAGAAAATCGATTTCATTTTCCACTGAATTCAGTAACTCGGCTGAAAATATTTTTTTTTTTCGTTTCAAAATCAATACTGCCAATTATATTCCTTCAATCTTTTAAAAAGCTTGAACGGTATTCTAGCTGCGCCATAAAATGAAACTTTATTTCTCTTTAAAGTTAAATTTTTTTCAATAAATGGAACAAGATTAGTAAAGAAGTACAAAGTGTTTACAAATAAACAAATCAATATTTTAGGATTTCTCAATAAATAATATACTAAATAGTTTATATTATGATTAATGTAATTGTTCAAAGGTATAATTTAGTATTAGTTTTAGGCTTTTTTTTTTATTATAATTATTTTTAATTATTTTTTTTTGGGGGGGGAATAAATAAATACCGGGATCCTCTTTTTTTTTTTTTTTTTTTTTCTTCCTCGCTTAAATTTTTTTTTCCTCGAGAAAAAAAAAAATATTTTTTTGACATGCCCCAATTAAAAACAGATAATAATTCTCTTTTGAAGAATTCACCATTGAATTTTGACATCTTACCAAAAATATTTGAACATTTTTTCGTTTGTTCACAAACCGAAGATATTAAAATTGCTCACACTTTATTCAGTTGTGCTTTAGTAAACAAACAATGGTGTAAACTAGCGTTACCACTTCTTTGGAGGGATCCGTTTCGATTTACCCTCACCGCAAGGAAGGGCTCTAAAGATAATGCGGGAGAAATGGTGTCTACGTTATTGAGTTGTTTAACCAAAAAAGAATGTCAACAATTTTCTTCGATTATAAAGAAACTCATTCCTAAATTATCCTACATTCCTCCCATATGTAGAAGACATCCCTTCTTTAATTATCCTAATTTTATTAAGAATTTGCATACAAAAGGATTAATCAACTCTGCGTTAAATTGGTTCGAAAATACTTTTAATATAAACAGCTTGAACATCACCACCTCTTATTCTACTGGTTCGCTCAAGAGTATTACGTCATTAAATGGATCAAATAGTTCATTAAATTTAAATAATGATCCTTCCAATTCCGATAACAACAACACGTGGGACAAAAATGAAAAAAGGATATTTGTAGAACAAGTTATTCAATGCTTGTTACAAATGCTCGTCGAGAGAGATAACCATTTCAAAACTGTTTATGTTGAGAAGGTAGAAGGGAACGACAAGTTTTCTTTTACTAGATGTTTTTTTAAAGAACAGTTCGTCAAGACTTTTAATCAAATTCAAAAATTGGACATACATGAAATGGAAATTACCGGATATCCTGACATGTTAAATGTTTGGAAAGATTTTGTGAGTATCGACAAAAAAAAAAAAAAAAAAAAAATCTTATTAAAGGGGCTTTTCTTTCTTTACTGACTTTTTTCTTTCATGTTTTATTTTCCTCGCAGTCCAACTTAACTTCGCTTTCGATAACGATGCAATGTCCAACAGATAATTATTCAAATCTATCACAAATCTTACAATCTACAAATACGACGAAACATTTACGTAAATTGAAGCTTCATTCCGGAGAAACAAAATACATATTACCACTTTTATCGTCAAAGTATTCTTCATCAATTCAACATCTCATATTCGAAAAGATTCAATTGGATACAACTGACGATTGGCATCTCTTGTCCAATTTTACTAAATTAAGTAAAATGAAATTCATTCATTGTTGGATTAATCAAATAGATAATAAGCAGCAAATATTTTCTATTATAACCCAAACTCCAATGCAGTTTAATAATCTCAAATTATTTGTTTGGGTTGACAATGAGGGTAGTGGGTTAAGCATCGAGGATGATGCTAAAAGTGAACTTGTACTTTGGGGTATACAACAACATGCTATCGTTGCTTTGGAAAATCTTTGTTTGGAAAACGCTAGAATTTATCATGAATCTATTATTAACGGTAAGTATTCTTCCTTTATAGTTATTAGGGGATTTGAACATAGTTAACAAGACTTTTTTTTTTAAAAAAAAAAATATACAGGATTATTGGTTAACCCGGTTAAACATCATCGATATGCCTCTTATACAAGAGAGATTAAAAGATCCTTAAAAATAAAATCATAGTGACGGGGGAATTTTCATTTTTTTTTTATTTTATTTCTTTAAATGTATACTTATAATCCACAAGAATGGAAATTTTGTCTAAAATTATGTTAGGATTTTCACGTGCTTTTCGAGAATTGGCTAATTATTTATTTGCATGTGTTACATCTAAACTAGGTAATAAATATCTTTACAGAAGTTCATAGCCAAATTAGATTCTGTTTAGCTTTAAATTATGTTAATATAACGCCTAAATAGATGTTATTAGGCGCATTTATGCATTTATCGAAGCGGAAAAAAAAATCTCTCTTATATTTTTTAAATTAATCCACCCTTTGAATATGTATTGTATTCATTATTTGATTTTTTTTATATTTAACTTTTATGGATTTTTATTATAATCATCATGACTAAGGAGCTTTCAAATAGAATTTTTGTTGATAATTTTTTTTTTTCAAAAAAAAAAAATAAATAAATAAATAATTCTTTCACATCTTCTGATATAAGATAGCCCATATGATCGAATCTCCTCCAATTTAGGACGTGATTACAGATACATTTTTGGTAGTAAAGATCATGCATATGAAAAAAAAACGTCCGTTCATATAACACGGAAAATATTCTGGAAAAGTATTGCAGAAATCTGCGTTAATTCATATTTCGAGAGCATTGCAGAATCTTTTCAGATGATCGACATTTTTCTGTACGATCTTTTTTTTTATAATAAAATTACAAATATTTTTCCCTTTTTCAATGTACTGTATTATCAAATTGTAATTGTTTATTAAGATAATCTAAAATTTAACCATAAAATTTTATACATTAAGTTTTGTTAATGCATTAGTAAATTGGATTATTAATATACATTGTAACCTTTCAAACTTGATCCATTACAGATGTTAAATTAGTCAAACAATTTAATATAAAAAAATGTTTCTATAATTGCAGAGTATAGTTTTCTTTTCTCATCTCACTCATTAGAAAGAACATTTTAAAAGAAGCGAATCTTGATCATAAAATGTTCGTTAACGTTAACCAGATTTATTTTTATTTTCAAAAGTTTTAACAAATTTGTGATAAAATTTTTGAGAACTGATGGTGAATAAAAAAAAGAAAGTTGTTTTAATTTTTATAGAAGTTTATACATAATTAACAAATTGGATCGTTCACGAGATACAATAAAAAAAAAAAATAATTAAGAATTTAAGTTCCTAATTTCTATTATAAATTAGGAAATGATTTAAAATATTTGTAAAAAGAAAATTCTTTATTATTATAATATAAACTATTTATTCAAGGTCAAAAAGAATGCTTACACTTAACCAGATATAGATTAATCTATAATTGTTTCGCGCCTACGCCGGGTAGAGGTGGCAAGCCTTGTACAGGTAAAAAAAAATTTATATTTTTTTATGTTTTTTGACAGATTATCAGAACGGTCAACCAAGATCATCATATGATCCAATCAAAAAATCATAAATTACCACAGGCAACATGACATGAAGCCCTTTAAATCCCAAAAATAACTCGTGTTAATGATCACCAATATTAAAGAGGAAGATCAAAACTAGTTATTTTAAACCACAGACAACATAATATGCAAGCCTTGATGTTAATGATTATCAGTATAAATAAGGAAGAAATCCTAATACCGAGTAAAACCAAAACAGCGCAGGGCAAGATAAAATGAAGTCCTTTAATCCCATATAACTCGGTATAATGACCTTCAAGGATAACCTAGTTGAACTTCAAAGACCACCTGTCCATCATTACCCGCTTTGAC